AGATTTGTGTATGTTGTCGATAGATTGTTTGAAGTATGTAGTTCAGTTTATCATTTTAAATTAAACATATTCGTATCATATGCCTCTTCTATTAAAACTAGATGTACCTATTTGTAAAAAAACAAATACGAAAAAATAATTTATATCTTTGCCACCAAAACTAAAATAAGAAGAAAAAAAAAAGATAAATATAGGACAAGTCTAGAAAAAATATCAGAAAAACTGAATATCAACACCAGAAATCTGGAGAAAAATCTAAAAAATCTGATTAGTTGTATACAAACGGCTTCTACAAAAAAAAAAAAAAAAAACCGAAAATAAATGTGGGATTTCTCGCAACCATTGGTTTGATTGGAAGTGTGTACGAGTAAAAATGAAATCATTCGCGCTTTTAAAATTATTCAGAAAAGCAAATCATTTATAATTTTAAAAAATTATTTGATTGCTAATACAAAATTTAAAGCAACTTGTATATATAAAAAAAATGGATATTTCACTAAAATAATAACAAAACTAAATGAGGCAAAAAATTCAAGTGATATCTGGAAAGCAATTGAGTTCTTCAGGCAACGTAAGTTTGTTAGTAGACCTTAAATAAAACCACAAGAAATGGCGACTCATTTAGCTCAACTACTGACCTCTCCTCCTTGTTCTGACCCGATAGCTTATTGATGTGATTGAGAGATTTTGATTGAATGTGAACACATGGAAAAAAAAAATTACTATTGAGGAAACAATGGCAGTGATTCACAAATATAAAAATAATAAAACATCGGGGATGGATCGCATAACTTATGAGTTTTATAAAAATGCAACACTGAGCTTGATCGAAAAGATACTTCAAGTTTTCAACAGTATGTTTGAGAATAAAAAAGTGTCTAGATGTTTTAAAGAATCTATTATATTACCTATAGAAGGAAATTAGTTGACTGTTTTACATATCATGGGTGATAAATATTCAGGACGCAGTCATTATAAAGCTTTTATTAGTGCTGACGTTTCAACCCAAACATGTGGGTCATCATCAGGGCATAGTTCGAACACGGACGGTGTTCAATATTTATCTCTGAGTCCTGAATATCTATCACCCACTATTATATTACCTATATTCAAACAAGGAGATTTAAATATTGTACATAACTACAGAGATTTATCACTCCAAAACAGCAAATCAAAAATATTTACCGGAATACTACTGAACAGAATGCCAAAATGAGCATCAGATAATAATGTTTTGCACAAAAATTAAGCTGAATTCAGGCCAGGATACTCGACTCACGATAATCTGTTATTCTGTTTGGAATAATAAGTTATAAATTTCATAATGATCAACCTATTTATTAATTTTTTGCAGATTTTAAGGCAGCGTTTAATAAGATAGACCGAGAATCACTTTTTTATAAATTAAATACTACTCATCTCCCAACAAAAGCCATAAGAATTTTTTGAAGCCAGTATATGAAACTACAAGCTGTGGATTATGTGTCTTTCAAGGCGCTTCGCAATGGGACCCAATCCGCAGTCCGTCTTGCTAAAACCACCTACTTCCATAATGCCCTGTCCAATGCTCCCGACCCCAAATCTAAATGGAAAATACTCCGCAACCTATCCCTACCAGAGTCCATTAATCGTAGTTCCTTCGATCTTTCTCCAGATGATCTCAATAACCATTTCTTATCCTTTACTCACTCTTCCTCTCATACTTTCGACATTAAACATCACAAATTCAATCCTGAAGACTTCTTTTTCTCCCACGTGTCCTATGATGAATTACTTTCCACCATCCTAAAATCCCACACCAATGATTATGGTCCCGACAATATTCCTGTAAAACTAATAAAATCCACCCTTCCTGACCTTATTCCTGTTCTTTATCATATCTACAATTTTTCACTGCAGAACTCCATATTCCCATCCTCCTGGAAAACCGCCCTAGTCCGACCTTTGAATAAAATTGCCAATCCTACCTCACTGCACGACTTCCGTCCTATTTCTCTCCTATCCAACCTCTCAAAGCCGCTAGAACGCCTTGTCCAAAATCAGCTCTCAAACTTCCTAGAGGAACGTTCCTTTATCAACCCATGCCAATCTGGCTTCCGACCCGGCTATTCAACGCAATCTGCTCTCCTTAAAATAACCCATGACCTACAAAACTCCATTGAACACCAAAACCTTACTATCCTCATCCTTCTAGATTTTTCCAAAGCGTTTGATACAGTTGACCATAACATCCTTCTTACCAAATTGCAAAACCTTCCTCTATCCAACAGTGTCCTGCATTGGTTCAAATCCTTCCTTTCCAATCGATCCCAGTATGTAGTAGTCCCTGATCAACCTCCTTCAAACACACTTCCCCTCTCCTGTGGTGTCCCTCAGGGTTCCTCTCTCTCTCCTACTCTGTTTGCTATTTACATCAATGATCTTCCCCTCCAGATCCGTCACTCCCGATACCACATCTATGCAGATGATTTCCAAATATACCTTTCCTTTCCGCCCTCCGACCTATTATCTGCCACAGAAAAACTTCAAGAAGACTTAGATGGAATTTGTGACTGGGCAAGAACAAACAAGCTGAAGTTGAATGCGGATAAGACAAAGGCAATCTTAATAGGCTCCAATCACCTCCTTAAAACTGTCCCTACTATTCCAACTCTGTTCCTACATAATAACCCCATCAAATTTCACCCCACCATCAAAAATCTTGGAATAACCATTGATCAAACGCTTTCTTGGAAAAATCATATATCCAATATTTCCCGCCGTACCATTTCCATCCTAAAACGTCTTAACTACTCCCGTCACCTATTTCCTTTTGAAACCCGTAGGCTCCTAGTCACTTCCTTAATTTTTCCCCACTTTGACTATTGCTGTACGGTATATGGGGGCCTCTCTGGGGATCTCGAGGCGAAACTAAAACGTTTGATAAATTGCTTTGTACGATTCATCTTCGGGATCCCAAGGGACGCCTCTGTTTCCCATCTTTACGCGGAGTTAAATTGGCTTTATCCTTCCTACCGTCGTAAGTATTTCCTGGCATCCTTCCTCTTTCAAGTCATCCAATCCCACCGTCCCTCATACATCTCCGAGCTCCTTCAATTCAAATCCTCTGTTCGTTCCCGGTCTTCTGATTTATACATAAGGGCCCACTGAAGCTGCTTTCGACAAATCGTTCATTATCCGATCCTCATCTCTATGGAACTCCATCCCTTCCCATATCCGTAAATCTAATACCCTTCCTACCTTTAAATCCCGCCTGTTCAATCATTTCTTATCCATCCAGTCCCCATAAAATCGTAAATAGATACTACTGAAAATATGTACATAAGTTATTAGTTCGTTCTTCATTATTTGTTCTCCAATTTTTGTTTATCTATTTTTTTTTTCTCTTTTATTATCAACTGATCAAAATTGGAAAGCAACTTATATGTATATGTGTATATATATATATATATATATATATATATATATATATATATATATATATATTATTTTTTTTAACCAAGACTGTTCAATTACTCTGTAGTTTTATTTATATATCTCTGAGGCTCCTTAGCTCTCATTTCTGTCTTCCTGTATTATTCTAAAGGGACTCGTCCCAGAATAAATAAAGTATTATTATTATTATTACAACATTTACAGTAAGGACAAAATACGGACTTTCACGATCTTACAATGCAGAGATAGGCCTAAGGCAAGGTTTCTTCATTTTTATTAATGAATCAATTGAATGGGTTGCAGGTGGAATATTAATTAGCTAAATATAGCTAAATTAGTCATTGAAAAGAATATAACATGGATGAGGGCACTGAGAAGGATAGGAACAATATGTGACATTTCTTTTACCAAAAAAGATCTGCTGAAGGAGTTGAAAACATTTTACTTGAAAAACTAAAGCAAGAGAAAATGAATGATTACATTAAGAGGGCAAGATAAGCAGAATATCATGAAATATAGGCCAAATTAGAATACGATTATGGGTATTTTAGGCAGAATGATTACAATTTATACTTCATTCGGCTAATTTTTAAAGCAAGAGGGGAACTTTTCAATCTAAATTACCAGCTGTGGCAGGATAAAAGAGGCAATTGTTCTTTGTGCAATATGAATACACCGAAAGATAACTTTCATTTTATGTCGGTATGCCCAATACTAAAAGAGTTTAGAATAGCATTTTAAGGTATGCATCAACTAAGTTGAATGAAAATAATAAATATGTTAAATGGACCAAATTACAGAAGTCTTTATTTGTATTTAAAAACATCCACTAATTATAGATGTGAATTAGTGTGAGAATATAATTTAGAATAAAAAGGATTTAAGCATATGTTCGTGTATATTTTTACATTATGTAGGTGTATTTATATTTTTGTATTTAGAAAGAAATTTTAGTCAAAACTAAGATTTTTTTTTTTTAAATTATGTAGATAGTATTGCAATTGGGACTTTCTTATATTGAAACTGATATTCTTAAAAGATAAAATACCTCCATGCATAAACTAGGCAAACACCTCAACAGAAGAACATAAGTTTATTGTCTATAAATCGTTTAATTATATTTAAAAATAATGATATTATGTACTTTATAAACAAATAAACGTTTCTATCTATCTATGTAGCAGTCGCAGAGTTGGAAGGCTGAAGCTGTGGTGGGCAGATTGTGTCGTCCATGATGCCCATGAAATTAAAAACTTTATTGTATTTTTGCCATTATATAAGCGGAATCTGTAGAACAGACTTGGACTAGTATGAAAAAGTTTGAAAAATGCAGATAAGTTAATTAATAAAAAAGTTATTGGCAAATTACTTGAAACATTTGTTAAAGTGTCAATAATTGGTGACTTTGTCCTATATATTTAAAACATGGATAAGAGAAAATAAATATCTTTACAGAATATTTTGAATAGGAACTTTGCCACTCCCTAAATTCTGCCGTCCAGGACAAGTGTTCCCTTGGCCTCACCTTAGTTTTGGTCCTAACATGCACAATATTAATACATTACCTATAAAGATGATTTCCTTCCATCCTTTGTGGGTAATATTTAACTTCCTCAGTTATTTTAAATTGATTTTGCAAAAATGATGAAGGAATATGAGCACTCGTTGTATATTCAAGTATGGCATCCAAAAGCCAAAAACAATCTAAATAACAACAAAAACAAAATAAGAAACAATAAAACAACCAATTACAACTGTATTACAATAAGTAATAAGAACTACCTTTTTGCAAATGACTATTATCAATACAATTGGAATCTCCATAAACAGCTATTCGTCCACTGCTGATACTGTTTTGGGTTTGAAATAAACCTAGAATAGGAACCTTTTCTCTGAAGGATCTTCCACCAATTATTTTTGAACCTATAAAAAAAAATCAAACTTTGAATAGAATATTTCCATCAGGAGCCTATTTCATAATCAAGCTAATAGTATTAGTAAAAAGTACAAATGTACAAGACTACAAAGTACAAGTCAATAAGTGGCTAGGTTATTTTTAGAGAGGTTAGTTTTGAGAATATTAATTTAAAAACAGGCACATTGAACAAGTTTGTTTTCTCTACCACCATATAGAAGAAAGAAAAATCTATCCGGACTTTTAGTCAATATACTTACTTACTTAAATAGTAATACTATTGTACTAGTAGTTAGTATTCGTGACATGATAACAATTTCATGTCATGATAACATAGTACAAAACTATAAAATTCAAGTTAAAAGTACAAGTGATAGTGTTTCATAAAGATGGTTAATAATACAAATCATATGATTTTCCTTGGGCTATTAGTACAAATCTTAGTTCACTTGTAATATCAAAATATTAAATATAGTTTTAATGAGTAATATTAAGTAACTGTTTTTTACACCTGATAAGGGGCATGTTAATGATTGTGCCAGTCAACATTCCATCATTCCTCAAAAAAAAAAAAAAAAAAAAAAAAAAAAAACATTCAGAATTACAAATAACTTCAGTTTGAATGTGGAAAGAGAACATTTTCGAATGCCATCGCCCAAACTCAAGAAAATGATTTTGGGGATGACTAAAATAAGATAAAGGCTGAAAAAAGAAGAGCACTTTTGGCACAATACTGTATATTACCCTAAGTTAGCTTGAAAATAGGAACATAGTGAAAATAGGAAAATAGTAAGGCATTGGCGAATCTATGGTGGTGGGGGAGGGGAGGGGAAAGCTTTTGGTCTGATGCCCCACAAAAAATGAAAAAATAATTTTGTAGGGAGAAGACTATCGGCCTGAATCCCTACCCCCAAAATTAAAAAAAAATTGTTCTAATCTAAAAAAAAAGTGTTTTAAGATAAACTCTGAAACAATCAAGATATATATAAATCGAATCTGAGTTTTCATCGCAAATGCACGTTTTGATGTCTCTTGAGTCCAAATAACCAAGTCCCACAAAATGGTCTGTGTGGTTGTGTGATCAACCTAGCTCAAAAACAAAAAGTCGTACAAAACTGGTTTTATTTATTTAAGAAAGTTATATGGCTGGGATGTTACAGCAACTTTTTTAGGAGGGGGCCTTCAAATACCCCTAACAGATCATTCATACCATTAAAAAAAAAATTAAATCCTGTATTGCATGAACTGCATCGGTGTAATGTGCAATTAAAGATTTATTTTATAATACAATTGTTTTTGTTTTTTTCATGTATGGAGCAATAGATGATTCACTAATATCCTACTTATGCTGCAGGTGAAAACGAAGATGGATCCCTAGATTGGCATAGAACCTATTTGATTAACTATAATTTTCTTTAGTGGCTCTACAGTGATGTGAGAGTAAAATTTTCCTGCAATTGTTCATCAATCACAAGTTCTTCGAAATAGTGTAATTTATTCTAGAATGAAAAAAAGATTGTTTTGCCTTTCCAGATTTTTTTGTTGAAGCCCACTCCTCCTAAAACGGTAAAATATAACCATGTCTTATGAAATAAATATTAAAACCTACCACTAAAAGTATTATTGTTCGTACAATTACATTAATAGAACTTCAAGAATCACTTAAACACCATTTCATATACATAATTACTAATTAGTTAGTTTCTTTCTTTTTCTCCCAAAGGAGTAATCATTATTTACAAAAAAAAAAAAAAAAACTTTAGGGCTGAAGCCCCTCTCCCTCAAAATTCAATCCTGGATCTGCTAGTGACTGAATGGTGAATAATCATATCCATGTCAATTTGTCACCTCTCGTCCGTCAATGAAAGATATTGCACAATATATCAACAAGAAACTTATAACCTCTAACTAAGGGTCAGTTCCAACAACCAGTTATGAATTGTTTAAGTAGTACAGGTTTGGTGTTCTAACAAGGCCCACACCAGGGTCAGGAGAATCTGTTGTTCCAACACGAAGTCCTGGACTGGTTTCGCACACACAGTACAGGTTAGCTGTTCCAACAAGGCCAACACCAGGTTCAGGACAGTTAGTTCGCTGTTAAAACAAGCAGTCCCCGACTTGTTTCGCATGTGCAGTACAGGTTAGGTGTTCCAGCAAGGCCTACATCAGGTTCTGGATAGTTAGTCCACTGTTCGAACAAATCCTGAACCACGTCAGATAGTCCCATTCTTGGCTCAAAGCGGTTCATTTTTCAGGAAATGTACTAATATGTGTCTCCAGTGACGAGGTTAGGATAACGTCAATTTTTAACCAAGTTACTTACGTAATTTTTTTTTCTCTTTTTTCTCACTTATCAAGATGGTTCTATGCCCAATTTGTAGACAGACCATAGCAAGAGAAGGAAAAAAAACAATAGCATGCACTATCACGTGTCAAGCCATTTTTCATGGAAAATGTCTAAATGCAGACGAGAGTAAATTTGAAGCATTGAGGGCATTATGAAAAAATTGGGTATGTCCGAAATGTGAAAAGGCTCAGAAAAATAACTAACCGACAGATAAGTGCCTTAGCCCCCCAATATCCGTGCCACAACAACAAACTGCTGACGCCACGTCACAACTGTTACTTGCTGCCATTAAAGATCTAAAAGAAGAGGTCAAGGGATTAAAATTTTCCCTTGATGCCAACACTAACGAGGTGAAAGAATTAAAAATATCTCTAGAAAAGCAAACCTCTATAACTTTTGAGAATGCGGCGAAATTGGACGCTATAGAGTCACTACTGGAGGCTCAAAATTCCAAGTCTCGGGTCTCAGAGCTCGAAATCAGGCTCAATAAAAGTGAGCATTTGTACTGGTTAGCCAGGAAAAAGAGGACTGCAGGAAAAATCAGGTACAGTTGGTTTAGTGCAGGCAAGGTGAAATGTCGACGAGACGATGGACAGCAGGTCGTCATCATCAGACTTGGACACATTTGCTTGACATGCATATACATGTTACATTACTTTGAACAATCTTGTTTTTACTTTTTTATATCTTCAGGTATATGTTTTTGTTGCTTTTGTTTTAATAATATATTATGATAATAATTTCATTTTTGTTTATGAGATAAAGAGAAATCCCTTAATCAGATAAAGAGAAAGATCGGTGAATTAAGTTTTTGGCATTATTGATTTTTTGGTGATATGGGTGTTGAGAGTAAAAGTTAGGAAGTCTGCCTGAGTACGTGAGTTTGGTATATTAATCAGTAGAAATAGAGCTGTCAATATTTGTGATTATTAGGAGACCTAAAAATTTTTTTCTCAATGGTGAAATGAAGACGGAGGTGGTAAGAATTGAATGAGGAAAGGATTTGAGGGATTCTGCTAGGGTTAAGAACAAGGAGGAGGTCATCTACACATTTTTTAATAATGAAAATGATGTCTTGGTGGATAGAAGGGATATCGGAATCTAGGAGGTCATTGAGAACTATGTTGTAAATATCAGGTGCTAAACAGTTTTCCAAGGCTAGACCGGAAATCTGATTAAAGAATTTTCCCTTGGAAAGTGAGGTATCCGGATCTGCAACAAAGCTCAAGGGATTCGAGGTATGAGGTGAGGTTGAGGGTGGTGTGAGGTTCAATAATGGTCCAGTTTTTTTGTATCATGTGAAGGGCTTTGTCTATTGGAATGTTAGTAAATAAGCTTTTGGTGTCTAGGGAAACAAGGATAAAATTGTCATGGATATTGAGAGAGGATAACTGTTCTTTAAGATGACAAGAATTATTAATTTAATAGGTATTGTCGTGGCTAAGTTTTTGAAGAGAGGGTAGAAGAAATTTGCTGTTTCAATTTTGTAAGTATTTAAAAATTTCTCTGTCATTATTTTCTAATTCAGATCAGCAATAATCACCTAGCATTATTAAGTTTCATATATTTATTTCAGTTTTATTTTCTATTCTTTATTTTTGTTTTAAATATATTTTTTTCTTTAAAATGTTTTATATTTATTATGTAGTTTAAGATTACTACTGTAAAAATTATATTCTTCGAAAGTATAATTTTTATCATAGTTTATTGTAAAAAAAAAAATTTTTGTTAATAAAGTTTAATTTATTTAAAAATCAAGTAAGGTCATTGCCTACAATTTATTTTTGACTTCCTCATTTTCCATATCGGGATTTAATCCTAAATATTCTCTCAACCTCCAAATTTCATTATTAAAATTAAAATTATTCACAACATTATATAGAGCACTAATTAAGTGAACAATTATAGATATATTTTTTATATTATGTGAAAAATTGTCTTAATTTATAATGGAGTCTAATATTATTGACTTTAGATCAAATAATAGTAGAAGTTGAATGGAGTGGGGTCGTCAGAGATGAAATTGATATAATTAACAACTAAGAAGTCTCATTTTATTGTTCCCAAATTTTAGGCCTACATCAGGGTGCATTATCAAACTTTAAGATCAACTCAAAACATTACTTAAGAAAAATAATGTAGTTTTGGAATATGGACCACATTGTAAGATTTCATAAAATCATCTATTAAGGCTGCTATGTGTATTTTTAAATTCACAATAGAAATTTTTATTTAGTGAGAACTTTAATATAATTAATTTTTTATATTATGGTGTCGTTATATTTAAAAGTTGTATATCTAATAAATAGCATTTGCCTTATGCTTTGACAAAGGCTTGAAACTTGGTTTGAAACATTAAAAAACAATAAAATTATTTTCAATTCTATTCTAAAAAAATGTTTCATATTAATATGTAATTCAATTTCATCCCAATCAACTTCTACTGATGTCTAAATTTATATAATATTCACATTCTAATAATAATTAGAAAAGATAAAACAAAGAATTAGTAGAATAAAGAATTGAAATATAAGTTTAATAAGTAAAAGAAATAACATAACAAAACCATAAATGTTCAAACTGCAAATTATAGATCAAACATGAAATTTTTAATATAACATAAAAAATGAACTCAAAAAATATAAATGGTTCGATATTTTT